TACCTGATTCGTGCTAAACCGTGGGCTCATAATGGCATCAAGATTTCCTCAAATGTTAAGGCCTACAGCTGTAATGTTTGCTGTGATAATTGAACTCAGTTATTTTTTTTAAGGACTTTCAGCAGTTATGCCCTCCACCTTTTGTCAATATGTCTATGGATCTCTTTTGTTAATTAGAATTTACTGTTTGCAGTTTGGCTGTTCCAATGATAACACTTGTTTAATATAGGTTTGGTGCTTTGCATAGAACGAGGAGGTTTGATTTTTTCAATTTTCTGCTGATCCATTTCCCTTTTTTGTTTCTTTCGATGTCATTTCTTGGCCTTAATGTAATTACAGTCCGCGAGAGAAAGGTTTTATTGGTATTGTTCAGAGTTGCTCAGATGCTAATGAATTTGATTAAGGTGATAATTCCTTTCGTATTTTGTCAGAATCGGTAGTTATACATTTCACGGCGGCTCGTTAACTGCCCTACAACTGGCTGAAATTCCAACGGGAGTGAAAATTTTATTTTGGGAAGAGTTCGAGAAAGCTGGTTACTTGTTTCACGGAGATGGACACGTGGAAGAATGGAGATACGAAACGTTCGTGTTGTTTCAGCTTTCCAAAACTGCAAATGTAGTCTACAATAAAAGTGGAACTGCATCGCTAAACATCATATTCCTCCCGTATATGTTGGACTATTTTGTTGTGTGGAATTAAGTATTTTTGCGCTGCGTAGTGACTGTACAGTCAGCTAGTTAAAAAATAGTTGTTGCAGCATACAAACGTTCTTTTGTATGGAATTCTTTCATGATTCTGACGCAATTTTTCATAAATTATTTGCTAGCCTGTTAAATCACCCGGGTTTTGCTATCAAGCCGTGAGGTTGCTTTTATTCGGACCGTGATTATGCATCGTAAATGCAACGCTGGAAGTGTACGAGGGTAACAAAAATGTTGGATACTGGTGGACTACTGCGTCAAAACGGAATTTCCAGCCTGGTTCCTTGAATTCTCTATTAATTACTCTTGTATTTAAAACCAAAATTTGCTTCAATTTATTGTCTTGAGAATTATTTTGCATGTGTAATTTAGCTTTAAAATTCGAAGTAGCACGCGTGCATTGGAAGTACAGGTCATACTGGGTGTCGAGGCTTTTGGCTAGGTTTGGATTTTTTTAGTGGCAGATTTTATTCTTCAGTTTTTTTTTTTTCTTTGATGAAGAGAGTCCGAATTTGTTTTTTTTTTTTTTCAGTTGTAATTTTTGGGTAATTAAGCACTTGGTAATATATTAATGATTGTTTGAAGCTGCAAATCTGCTTAACCAAAGTAGAAAGTACCAGTGAATTATGTTTAAAGAGCTGGGCAGAAATTCCGCTCTAAGGTTTAGGGAATGAGATGTTAGAGTGTAGCCCGAAAAATTTAATGTCAAAGGTTTCGAGTACCATGATTTTTCTAAAGATTTTGGCGCAGTTTGCCAGTGGGACGCAAGTGGAAACTGTGGTATTCCTAATATTTTCTGCTTCCACTTCCGCTCAGCGATATGGCGTATATGTCAGTTAGATGGGCTTATATTACTTCAAATCGCCATCTGACAGACATTTTAAATCAATTTTCAACCAAAAACAGTTTTCCTTGCTTATTGCTTATGCGTGCTCACCGCTCATTCCAAGGGCTGCTTCAGAATTTCCACGACAAGTAGGCAAATCTTTAAAAGAACGACATTCAAGAGAGATGGCCGTGCCTAGGTAATATGCGATTTCGACGAGTTTTTTGCTGGAGCGGGTTCAGGAGAAAGAGATGACTCTACAACTGTTTCTTCTGATGAAGGAGGGCAAGAAGGCTTGAAAGTTGCTGAAGTTTTTGAAGCGTTCTTAGTTTTTTTTTCGTTTTACTTCATTTTTGGTGACGATATTTTAATATTTCCTGCACTTCTTTTAAACTTCATTCTTGCTGTTGTTGAGTAGGCATCATACTGAATACGATTTTGTTCATTGTGAAGCTTTTTAAAGGAAATTAGAAAACAGTGAGTGCTCCATGGAAAGACTGGTTTAATGAAACCGTTTTAAAAAGTATTGAAAGATTTTAGTACAGTGTCAGTATAACACTGAGTCGAAAAAATGACAGAATAATGGGATTTTTCTTAGTTGTTACAGATTGCTCCTTGGCGATCCAATATTATTGTTTTGGTCTCCCATTACCGGTTACAGATGCTGAGCGCAGTGAGAGGGCTTGAGAATGATCAATCACTGATTCACAGTAACCTGACTTCTGACATATTACACATAACTCATGGAAAACTGTTTTTAAACCTGATTTAAGATTGTTGAGTTGCAGATCTTTCTAATTTTAGGTAAATTCAATAGAAAATCAATAATATTTATGATTTTAGTATGGTTTAATAATATTATACAAGTAACTGTCAGTCAAGTAGATAGATCTTCAAGATCTTTGAATTGATGCACTGGTGGAAACCGCGTTGGCCTCAGCGCAGTTCAAATACCAAAATGAAGGTCAATGGTCCTGAACAGAATGTTTGCTGTCGTTCTCAACGGAGAATCGTATTTAGTTCTTAATCGTGTGTAGAAAAAAGCCGATCACAGTTTAGTAAAAAAGTAGATTTGAAAAATTTCTTTATCTCCCAATTCTAGAATGCTGGGGTTAGGAATTTTCAACGATTGACAGTTTTGTAGGAGAAAACGTTTTGGGGGCTCCTGTGTTGATTTCACAAAGCATTTCTTTTTGTACTCAAACATAACGAGGATAACATAACATGTACGGGGAACAAATATGAAAAGGGTCTTGCCTAGACTTCAAATAAGAGAAATTTGTTTTCATGAGTCACAGAAGAGTACATTGGAACTTTTTGACTCAACTCATAAATAAGGAGTCAATTTGTGTTACTCTTTGTTCAGACCACTATGAAACACACTTTTACTGTCAAAAAGATGTGAAGGAGAAAATTTGGAAGATTATGCAGAAAGGTCTTATTTTTATCAGGTATTTTTCTTTTTGGGTTACTTTCAGTTATCCTTCGTGTCTATTCCAAAGTTTTTTCATTGCTTTTTTTTTGCAGACTTTCCTTTAATAGATTTTAATAGTCCGTTTTCACTTATGTGGTATTCAACGGATCCTTCGTGGAGATCGTATTATTATCGCTCCTGCGCGAAGGTAGTGGTACCGAAATTGGTTTGAAAAAAGCGTAGTGAAGGAAATGGAAGACATTAAACAGAAAAAAGTGAGAATGCTGTAAATCCGTTTTGTCGTCACGAAAACAGTTGGATGAAGACGTAGAAGACCTGACTTTTTTTATTCAAAACAACTGGTGTCTGAAACTGAATCAAAATGAGGCAACGTATTTTTAGCTGAAAGTTTCTCTAATTTACAGAATTCTTCAAAATACAATGTTTAGGAAGTTTGAGTACTTACGAACATGAGGTGACGTTCCACTTTGTTGTATTTTACTATGAGTCAATGTCGAAAATTGTTTACATAGTAAAGATAATTTGTAGATGTTGTTTTAGTGAGAACAGGTAACTTGCGATTGGCTTTTATAGGTAAATTCAAAATAAACCTAGCTTTCTTTACCGAAATCCTCACATCTTCCTTGGTATTTTTTTCATTCTTTGCCTGCTTAGAAACAACAACATTTTCTGCTCTTTTTTTCATGTGCAAATTGTTTTCCAGCATTTTTTTTTCTTTTTTTTTTTTTTTTTTTTTTTTTTT